AGGGCGACTGCAGGCCGGGCGGGGGCGTGGACGGCGGGCGGGGCGCGCGGGGCGGGGCGCGGGCGGCTCTGAGGAACCCCCGGGTCTCTCTCTGGCTAGTTGACTCATCCCTGCGCGGGGGAAGCCTGTGACCCAGCCGCCCGGCCTTCCGCGGCCGCGCAGGGATGGGACCCGGGCTCCCGGCGGCCCCAGGACCTCGCCCTGGGCTGGTGGGGTGCGGATGGGTCCGCGCGTCCTCAGGGGAGGATGGACGCTGCTTTCATTCCTTCAACGGCTAACCCCGGCCAAAGCTTCTTTGAAGTGAGCGACTGGACTTCCAGAACGTGTTCTTGGACAGCACTGGCTGGGTGGAGTGTTGCGATCACCCGGGAACATCGGAAACGTGGGCTGGGTTTGAGGGGCTCAGAAGCACAGGGGACCCCCTCCAGTAGCAGCATCCTTGATGTAGAACCCTGGTCCATGTCTCTGGCTTTGAAGTTTACTCTGGAGCTTGCGGGGAGGGAGTGGGTGGGCTCAGGGCAGTGGTTACCAGCACTCAGCTTGGCAGGACTGGATTCCTGCTGGAACTGTGTACACCACCTGCCTCAGAGGCGTAGCTTGATAAAGGGGTTGGAGAGAAACTCAGCGGTTAAGAGCAGAAGACCAGAGCTCGGTTCCCAGCAACCACTGGGTTCAGCCACGTATAACCACAGCTCCAGGGGGATCCAGTGCCCTTGGGCACGTGGATACACACACCGCATACATGCGCATAAATAGAAGTAAAACAAACCTTTAAAGGGGGAGGCTCCTGCAGCCTGCTTTCGTCGTCTAGCGTCCCAAGGAAGCTCGCTTCTAGGCACTCAGCCCACAGAAGCACTAGAGGCCTGGAGAGTGAACCGTATGTTAATAGAATGGATACAGTGTGCTCCTGATTGCTTATCGGAAACTTTATGCTTGAGTCAATAACACTGTGACATTGGAATTGGTAATGGATGACGTAGCTGGGAACCGGATATTCTTTGAAGGAAGAACAAAGATTAGACAGGACCAGTGAAAATAGTGCCCTCAATTTGCTGACTCTATGACTTTGAACAAATTCTTTCATTTCCTGATTTAAAACAACAAAAAAAATTTTTTTTTTGTCTTTTTGAGATAGTCTCCCCATAGCCCCAGCTGGCCTGGAACTCACTTTGTAGACCAGGCTGGCCTCAAACTCACACAGATCTGCCTGCCTCTACCTCCCAAGTGCTGGGATTAAAGGTGTGTGCTACCACGCCCAGCCTTATAATTTTTAAAAAATTTTCTTTATTATTTTTATGTGTATGTGTGTATTGCCTGCATGTAGGTAACTGCACCTGTGCTGAGCAATGCCCCCAGAGGTCAGAAGAGACTGTCAGATCCCCTGGGACTGGAGTTACTGACAGTTGTTAGCTGCCATGTGGGTGCTAGGATTCGGACCTGGGTCTTCTTAGAGAACTGCCAGTGTTCTTAACCGCTGAGCCATCACTCCAGCCCCAAAACAAAAAATTTAAAATTACGTTTATTTAGTGTGTGTCCCTGTCTCCATGTGTGTGGAGGTCAGAGGACAACTTTGCCTGTGTATGGGCCTCAGGGATTGAACTCAGGTCATTAGACTTGATGCCCCAAAACAAAAAATTTAAAATTACGTTTATTTAGTGTGTGTCCCTGTCTCTCTCCATGTGTGTGGAGGTCAGAGGACAACTTTGCCTGTGTATGGGTCTCAGGGATTGAGCTCAGGTCATTAGACTTGATGGCAGACACCTTTACCTGCTGAGCCATCCCAGGGGCTCAGTTTCCTAGTCTGTACAAGTGAATTTAAAAAATTTAAATGTGGGACAGTGATGTTTAAGTGAGTTTCAGGTATGCTATTCTCTTAAAACCTCACCTATCAGAAGCACTGTCTAAATGTTAGCTGCAATTAAAGATATACTGAATGTTTAATATTAATATTAGTGAATAGACTCTGTTCAAGAAACACACCATTAGAGCTCAAAAGAAAAAAAAAGTTCAGTTTTATACAGGGCCTAGAAAGACTTCTCGTGTCGG